GGGGTATCTGCATGCATGTTGCCTGTTGCTTTGATGTCTGCTGCCTGGGGGATGGCGAGATGGGATGGAGGGATGGATGGTGAGATGGGATGGACGGATGGATGGCGAGATGGGATGGAGGGATGGATGGTGAAAAATATGAAGATCGCCGTTAACTGCCGAAGGTGGAGTGATGCAAGAAGAAGAAGAAGAAGAAAAGGAAGAAGAAGAAGAAGAAGAAAAGGAAGAAGAAGAAGAAGAAGAATAGGGTGAGAAGAAGAAGAAGAGGAGAGAAGAAGACCTAACGAATGGAAAAGAAGAAGAAGAAGAAGAAGAAGAAGAAGAAGAAGAAGAAGAAGAAGAAGAGGGTGAGGAGGGTAAGAAGAAGAAGACGAGAGGACGACGAGAAGAGGAGGAGAATAAGAAGATAAGCGTAGAAGGAGGGGGAGAAGGACGGCCTGTTTTTTTTTTTTTTTAACCTGTCGTGTATCACGTGACCTACCGAATGTCGACGAAATGAAAGAAGAAGAAGAAGAAGAAGAAGAAGGAGAAGAAGAAGGAGAAGAAGAAGAAGAAGAAGATGAGGAGGAGAAAGGAAACGAGAAGAAGTAGAAAAAGAAGATCAAGAAAGGACGGGGAGAAAGATTAAAACGTGAGGGGGAGGAGGGTAGAGAAGAAGAAGACGAGAGGACGACGAGAAGAGGAGGAGGAGAAGAAGAAGACAAGCGGAGAAGGAGGGGGAGAAGGACGGCCTTTTTTTTTTTTTTTTTCTCACCTGTCGTGTCTCACGTGACCGGCCGAATGTCGACGAACTGAAAGACGAAGGGTAGACGAAGAAGACGAGAGGAGGAGAAGGAGGAGAGAAGAAGACGAAGGGTAGACGAAGGGTAGACGAAGGGTAGACGAAGGGTTGACGAAGAAGACGAGAGGAGGAGAAGGAGGAGAAAAGAAGAAGAAGAAGAAGAAGAAGAAGAAGAAGAAGAAGAAGAAGTCGTTACCTGCAACAGTTACCCTAGCAGCAGGGCCTTCGTCTGCCCGCGCAACACAACCCTAGACGATCACGACAGGAAGAAGAAGAAGAAGAAGAAGAAGAAGAAGAAGAAGAAGAAGAAGAAGAAGACGAAGAAGAAGAACGGCGCGTTCGTCGTCGGGGTGTTCGTTGTAGCAGCAGCAGCAAGGCAGTCGGGGCCTTCGTCGTAGCAGGACAGTCGGGCCCGTCGTCGTAGCAGCAGCAGCAGACAGTCGGCGCCTTCGTCGTAGCAGATGGAGCAGTAGTCGATGGCGATGTCGACTGCCGACGGGCGACGCGCGACGACGCAGCAGGACGGCGGGGGAGAAAGTTCGATCGTGCTGGGGGGCGAGTGGCAGACCACCCCAGCCGATCCCATGTTTGAAAGCGGGAGGGGAAGTTTCGCGCCTAGATCAACCGGCTCTGTGGCCGTTGATCATGGCGAATCTACGGCCAGATAGCACAAAAAAAAAAATTGGCCTCCCGCAGGCCTACCGGGCCCGACGGGTCGGTTTTATGGGCCGGTCGGACCCGGTAGGCCTGCGGGAGGCCAAAAGAGGCGAAACGGGGGTCCGGAACCCCCAAATAGGTCAGTGCGCTGGGGGGGCCCGGGCCCCAACCGGGTGCCCTGCCCGGCCAGGCCGCCCGGGGCCTCCCCCGGGCCTCCTCCCGTCAGCCGGACGGCCCGGAACCGTACACAGATGATAACTGTATTTGGTTCACCTCCCGGTCTAGATACAGCGATAATGACTATACGTTCTATTCGAGGAAGACGGCGGTAGTGTGACTTGGTAACAGCCCTCCAAGCTCGTTTCCCGTGGTGTTTTTTTTTTTTTTTTTTTTTTCTAGAGTGGTATGGAGACTGAGGGCCAATGCTGCCCGATTAGAACATACGGTCATGATGACCTTTATTTGGGCCAACTTCCAGTCTAGGTACAGCGATAATGACTGTACGTTGTATTCGAGGATTTGACGAGGAAGATGACGGTAGTGTGACTTGGTCCCACCCATCTTCTTCTGGATTTTAATTGCCAATAGGCTTCACTGCTTTGATCTTATTTGGTGTAGTCGTGTTGCAATCTGATCTCAGTTGATGCACATGTCGTTGGCTTTCTCGATGTAGATGGGATCATGATGCAATTTGGTGTTCGTCATTCGCTTCGCCCATTTTCCGTGCAGCATACTCACACTGGGGCTTATCCAACTCATCTGTGGACGTAATCACAACCAGGTGAGTCCAGGTCTAACCCTAAAAACGGCCAGATACGCCCAGGAAAGTTCTTCTGTCAGTGTGCCCTGACTTTTAAATTTCATAGAATCTAAGCAGACGGCCTCATAGGCCATAAGATGTGCCTGGGGCGAAGTCCTACTACCAAAGAGGATTGGATCTAACAGCTGAATCTGGATTCTGGACGCATTTGTGGAGGTGCAGAAAATCTTGATTGATCTTCTTTTCTGCATCGCTGCATAAAACCCGTCCACATTCAGGCTCTTAATCCAATCCCCTCTTAGCTAGTGGGACATCGCCCCTGGAGGTCAGCGCCTTGGCCAGGTTGGCATTAAAAATCTCAGACAGGAAAATGGGGTTCGACTGGCGACCGGAAATAAACTGGTTCATTTTTTGAAAGAGAGAAAAAAACAGGTGGGGGGCGGGGGTGGAGGAAATAACCTGCGGGAACTTTTGGCACAGCATGGGGGTCTGCAGTGGTCCAATCTGCATATTTTTATTATTTTGCCTTTTTTTTTGTTTGTTTGTTTTTGAACAGTGTAATGACCTACCAGCCTGGGAAAGGCACGTGGTGCCGAGAATTGTCCCATCCAGGTACATCATTGGCAGCCCAATTCTGTCCCATCCTGGTACACAGAATTGTCCCATCCATCCATTCACTTGCATCTTAGCAGTCCACTGTGGGATTTGCAGCGAGGAAGTCCCAGATCCAGAACCTGATTGATTTGAACGTCCGGCCTGACATCTGCCAGGCTATATCCAGACTGGTCAGATAACCAGTCAACATCCGGACCAATGGGACATCCGCACCCGGACTGTGGTGTTACTTGGTTTTGTTCTGTATCGGGCCATGAAGACGGCCAAATCCACTAAGAACGTTATGTATGCCCTGTCTTTGCGAGGTGCATCTCCTCTTCATATCGTATTTTGTTTTTCAGTTTTTCTTTGGCCTTTGTTTATTTTCAATATTGTCTTTTACCCGTTTCTGCTCAACCATGTCCCAGCTCAAGATCCCGGCAGCCTTCGCACAGTTGCAAAGTGGATGGATTTGTGTGAGGGCTGGTGTGTCATCGTGCAGACACATTGTCACGACACAACTGTAGTGAATGAGAAGAGTTGAGATGTGTTGAGGTACACCTAACAGGACTTTCACACTGAATACAAAAACCTTCAACCCCCGGAAAAAAGCGTAAACCCTAAACCCTAAACGCTGCGTGCCCAGCTCACTTGGCGTACTATTCTTTCGCCTTTTACTAAAGAATACCGTGGGCTGAGCACACTGAGCAGCTTATAACAATTTTTAACGGCCCTTCGCTCCGTCAAGAAAAAAAAATAAAATCCCTGATCCCGAAATTCTATATCCAAAACCCTAAACCTTGAACTCTGAAGACTCAACCCCAATATCCTAAACCCTGAACCCTAAAACTTGAAACCCTTACATCCCAAACCCCAATATCCTAAACACTCACCCTGTACCATAAACCCTAACCCTATACATCTCAAAACCCCATTATCCTAAACCCTAAACCTTAACCTTAAATATCCAAAACCCTAACCCTATACCCGAAACCCTAACCCT